GTGGCATTTTTGCAAATGTGCACATAAAAAGTGGTATTTTTGCAATTTTCCCATAATTAATTCCGTACATATATTAATACCAACTTCTTTTTTTTTGCTAAATATTTTTAATAATAATACCAACTTACAAATAGATATACGGAGAGACAAAACAAGAATTTCCCACTTTTATTTAACAAAGGAAAACTTAATGTAAACATTTCTCTCTAGGGTAAATAGATTACTTTGACTTCTTTGATGATCCAAACGAATCACATGAACCGACGACCAGAAAAAGAAAAAAAAGAACGAACCAAATAGAAATAACGACTTTCAATTGGTTGACCAGAAAAAACAAAGAACGAACCAAATAGAAATAACATTTGAATTGGTCTCATGTCGAAGAGCTTCACTATATTTCACAAGAAAAGAATTAGAGGATACTAATTACTCCAAGAGAGGTTTCCGTTTAATCCGAAGAGAATCTGAATCTCTACGAATCTGAAGGTCGACTTTCATATTAATGCCTCATAAAAACATAGATCTTGATTTGAGTATGAAATAGTTTTTTTTTTTATGTTTTACTATCAAAAGTGTTCACAGTCTTTGGTTTTTAAATATTTTGCAGAGGAAGAAAGAAAAACATTTGTGGCGACCAAAAGCTTTACAAACTCTCTGGAATTCTCAAGTGGTGATTTATTTACCACATGATTTGGTGTGGTCTTCTTTGTATACATGTTAATTAAATGTGTATCCTTCTTTTCCTTCCTAACAGGAAACTGAAACATTGCCCCATTCAAAATATAATGCGTTTTTCATTCCCTTTATCATAGAGAGAATTTCTCCATCTCTAATTTTGTATACAATCGTGCCTAAGTGTATGTCTTATGGATCGATGTTGAAATATTGGTTAAAACATTAAGTGTATATAAAGTGAGGCAAAAAGAATAATTAATACTTTAATAGTACTAATTGTCAAACTACAGTTGGAAATTTTAAATGTCAAACAAAACTTGGTCCAAGTTGAAACGGCAGAAATAAATAGAGTTGACCCTTAACTTGTCTTTATATCAAATAAGTTTATAAATGAAATTCACATTTATTATAAAAAAAAACTCAAATTCATTATTCAACACCAAAACCCAACAAACTTATTAATAACTCATTGACTTTACAATCATTTACCCATTAGTCAAGTTTACTTTCTTTAAAATACTACTCCAACAGCTACCACTTATATATTTCTATTAATTTTTAAAAAATGAATCATGGAAAAAAAAACTTATACTGTAGTATTATTTAGTGCGGAATTAATTTCATAACCTCTACCAAATACCCATATCTACTAACAATATTTAAACATGAGACACGACTAATTTTTCTCCAGTTTAAATATATTTTTAGTTAAAAAAAAGAAATTTACAAATCAATCCTTCTAATAGTACTCAAAATAATCAAAAAACAATTACAAAAGTCAAGCCGAAGCAAACACCAGATCATTAACACCTGAAGAGGAAATATTCTCCTGCATCGCGGACTGGTTATGACGGTGTTCTCCTTCGTAAGTCACGATAAGCATCGTTGGATCATCCAAAGCTCGTTCCACGTGTTTCCTCGCTGGACATCCTCTAAACGTACTACACTTGTAATAACCACTGGATCA